TATATATATATATTGTTTTATAAAAAGTTAACAATAACAAAGCAGGTTGAACACGTCACACTAACTTATTTTAACTTTTTTTTTATGAAAAAAGATTGAAAATTTCAAGAGAAATTATACCGTATCCATATAAATTTGATGGATTTTGAAATAATCAATTTTTAAATTAATAATAATTATTTAATTATTTATTTTTTTGTCATGTTATAACTTTGCACTTGTGTCAAATACCTATGTAATAATAATATTATTAATGTGAGCCATTTAATTTTTATTAGATATAAATGACTATTAAATTTGATTAGAATCCAATAGTTGCCGTAAAGATCAGATTTCGATCACTGATATTAATTCAAATCTAGTTTATATAGATACATATAAATATTATGAACCCATCAACACTGGAATATTATGAACATATCATATCTATAAATAAAGTTACTAAACTTTACAATTCTTATATATGATAATAACTCTCATAAAATGAATACTGTAAGAGGCAAGGACTATTTCACAATGCAATCCTTACAAGATAAAATTACATTTTTACAGATTAATGCACTTGATTTAATACACTTGACTGCTTGCTTAACATTTTTACAGATTTAAATTTATTAAATTATTCAAATCTATTTATTAAGTTTTCAGAAAACTTTGTTTATTAAAATTAAGTAATCGTGGAGAATCAGAGACTGTATCGATTTGTCGACTGCGTGAAAAATAGAGCGTAGGAGATTTATCTGTGGATTCAGTCATGGGGGTTTCTCTCTTTAATTCCTCTGTCTCTATGTGTCTGTGCATGTGTGCATCTCTATTCAGTCCCTCTCCCATCAATAAAATGTATAAACTATTAAACATATTGATAATGGTCACAATGAGCTTGGCTAGTGTTGGGGTCATATAAAACATTCCTTGGAACATGGACACTCAACATTCTTAAGTTCCTTTTTTTCTTTTCATTATAATAACTTTTTATATAAAACATGAGCTTGACACCCTTTCTCAATTGATACATACTTATCATCCATGAAATTTATAGACCTAGTGTAAATAAATGTCTGCAGACACTCATATTAATATATTATGGTCCCATGGGATCGATGGTCGATAGAACAATCATATTTAGCAGGTCCTCGTTCCTATAAAAAATTAGTGTTAGTTGTGAGTTTAAGCCTATTTCATGTTTTCACCAATTCATTCATTGACCTCCAACCTCGTCTAGATATAGTGTATATTTTAATTGCAGCCTTATCCTGGTCTTGGCCACTCTACAAGCAATAAGGAGCTTCCATATTCCTAGTCCTTCAGCTCTTGCAATGTTTTTCGTTTATTCAAAGTAATTTGACTTGGTGTGAGACAGTTATTCCTACTCAATGTGATGAGAGAGTGATAACTATCTTGCTTTACATTTTATGGGGAAACCTTCTGATTGGTCTTTTCACTATTCGATTCTTGTCGACATTTAAAAGGAATAGAAAATTTCTGACCTGAGCTACACATCCCATACATGTTACCATTAGTTTTTTTTCTTTTTCCTATATCTCACAAAAACAATGTACTTATGCTCTTTCTCAAAAAACATTTCATACATGCTTTTAAGTTAATTTATGAAATTTTAGGCAATAATGATCATGGATTATAGTTAAGGGGATCAATAATATTTGAGTTGAAGAATAGCTTAAATGTAGGCAGTTGAAGATATCTGACGATGAATGAATAGGTGAATAATGCACTTGTGATGGCAATAACAAAATCGTCGGTGATGCTATTTTCTGACCCCTATTTAGTTTTCTGAGCTCCAGTAACAGCTACATAACATAATATTCTCACATCATAAGGTGGCCTATTAATTTTCTCTTTTTCCCCTGTATTCGAAAGTTGCCACTGTAGGTATACAGCATTTTCTTCTCCATCCTTGGGGGACCAATTCACAGCTGGTGACATAACTCAAACTATCTAGGCTATAGGATAACACGTTTGAAACTTGTAATTTTAATTAGTAAATATGTAGTGTTTATATGTCTGACAATGTTTTTTATTGCATCGAGTGTGAATTAGAAACAAATTTTAATTGAATCGAAAGTTAGATTTTTTTTAATTACTATAATCTAAACACACACTTATGATTTAAGACACCAAATAAATAGAATTGGATTTTAAGCAATCACAATTTATTGAAAATATTAAGTCATGGTCTCCCGTGTGTGAAGTAATACAATTGGTTGAACAATTATGTTTTTTAATAAAATATTAAAATTCAATTTATGATTTAGATAAAGAGCTATGACTAGAAGTAATACTTTATTATTTAAAGGAATAAGGACAAATTTAATAAGAAT